GAAACAGGCAGCCCTGGAGGGCTCTTCTTGTCCTACCTGGCCTCCACCTCCTGCCTTCCCAGCATACAGGGGCCTCTGGTGGCCACAAGCCACCTGGCTTCATGCTCACACGGTTCCTGAGTCCTCCTGGCTCTCCCAGGCCAGGGCTGTCAGCCAGGCTGGCAAAGAGGTGAGAGCCTTTGGGCTGCTGCAGGTCCCATGGGCCCCAATGGTCCCCAGCGTTCACAGGGCATGTGGTCCACCCAGCACAGCCCTTCTGCTCTGCTCTCTGCAGGGAACTGCTTGTTCTTTGGCTGCCGCCAGAAATCCAAGGACTTCTTGTGCCAGGCGGAGTGGGAAGAGCTGGTGGCGCAGGGCTTTCTGCCTTCTCCAGGGACCAGGTTAGTTTTCGGAGGAGGTGGATACAGAAGCATCTCAAGCAGCACTGATGGGAGTCTGGCAGTGTTTTTGGCCCCTGTACCTGTTGACATGGCCTGTGAAGGTCCTGGTGGGGTGGCACAGTGGTCACCTCACTCCCCTGCACCACCTGGGTGCTGCTCTCCAGCCAGGACGTGTCTGGCTGAGTTGGACTAGAAAGGTTGCTGGGATGGGGCCAGCAAGTGCCGGAGCAGATAAGGCGTTAGCCAGCTTTGTTTGGCTGGACTGCATGAGCAGTAAAAGGCTCCCAGGCCTCTCGGGAGGATCACCAGGCAATAACGTTTCTTGGTTGAGTGCCACTCTCCCCACAGTGTCCCTCTGATTGCTGGCTGAAGCTGAGGAGCTTGGCCTCCTGCCCTGGCTCGCAATGCCCCCGTGCCAGCTCTCCTGGAGCCTCAGCCATGCAGGAGAAAGCTCCCTGGGGGTATGACCCATCCCCACAACTCAGCCCCTCACTTTGCTCCCTTATTTCCCAGACAGCATCTTTGGTAGGCAGCTCTCAGCCCCTCTCTGGGCTGCCGAGCTTTTTACATTGCCGGGGAGCTGGGACCCTGTTTTGTTGCCTTGCCTCGTCCCTTAATGGCACTGAAAGCTCAGCCTGCCTTTGAAACTGAGAGATCTGATAAAAAGGGTTAGTGAGAATGGGTATTTCTAAGTAGCGCAGCTGCACCACTCCTTTTCTCCTGGCTGTGTGCATGTGTTGACATGAAGCCAGCATCTTTTATCCGGTCACTTGTAAGGCATGAGCTGAACGGCTCTGCGAAGGCTTTCCAAGTCTTTGCTGAGCAGGAGCAGCACTGCAGAGGTTTGTTGGATGACCAGGCTGCCTTTTTCCTGATGGCTCACACAGTGAAGGGGGGCACCTGCTGCTCCCTGAATCTGGAGAGCAGCCCCAGAGCCTCCTCCTGACCTCGCAGACTCTGGAGGGACGAGACTCACATCGCAGTGTGCCTCCTGGCCTCCCTTCTCTGCCTGCTCCGTGGGACGAAGCAGTTTGCCATGAGAGTCTTCTGCCACCAAGTCCTTGCAGTGCTGCACAGGGAGGCAAGCGGGAGCACAGGGTGTGCCACACTGGGCCATTGTACCTGTGGCTCTAGAAGATACCACAGCTGTTAACTTGTCAAAAACTTAGTTTTCAAAGAGCCTGGCAGGAGCTGGGGTGCTCCATAGCTGAGCAGGATTTCCCTTCTCTCCGTAAGGTCTCTTTGCGGTGACCTTCTGTCACATCACGTCTGCCCACGGTGCAGACTGATGGATCCCAGCCTAATGCGGCTGTCACTAATTCTTAGCAGGATGCCCTGGGGTTTAGCTGAGACATCGTGACCCAAGTCTGTCACTGGGGTGCTCTGGTTTCTAGGTAGCTGCAGATCCTCAAATGACCCTCTCGGAGCCTCAGACAGAGCCTTTGTCAGCACTTAGCTGATTAATGTTAATGATGCCGAAGCTGAGCTACCGGCTGGCTGTGTTGGTGCTTGTGACGGGCTTGCTTACCTCCTGCATCGCCAGCAGCTGTCGGAGCCATGCCTGGGGGTGACCTGACTCTGCAGTGCAGTGCAACCAGTGGAGCTGCGTGGGACATGCTGACCACGTGGTGACCAGCTCTTGTGACAGCCAGGGCTGGCTGCTGCGTGGCCTTGTTCCCACCTACACCTCGGGGCTGGGGCGCGCAGGGCGCCTGGGACACGGCGAGAGCCTTGGTGCCTTTGGGGCTGGATGGGAGGGAGGAGGACATGGGGAGGAGGCTGCCCCTGCAGCTCAGCTCACTGCTCTGCAGACCCACCCCAGAGGGCCTGGCCTCTGTCACAGTGTCACCTTTGTCATGGAGGAGCCGTCTGGGCCGTCTGGGCCAGCAGTGAATTCAGGGCTTTAGCCGTGGTGTTCCTCTTGGGCAGAAGCCAGGGCCGCAGGCAGTTGTTGCTTGGATGCATGAAGTCTTGTGGATTAACCTTTTGGGAACTCTCCTCAGTTGGGCTGTACTGTGCCAAAAACCAGTTGTATCCAGTCTCTAAGCACAGTGGAGGGGCAGGGAGTGGGACCGAGGCTGTCCCCCCGAGCTTTCTGCCCTTCCAAGCTGTTTCAGGCCTCCAGCAGGTGACCAGGCTGGGACCAGCAGCCAGGGCTGTGGGGAGGGGTCTCTGCCCTGTGGCCCCCTGGCACAGGGCGAGCAAAGAGCTTCCTCTGCCCGTACTGGGAGAGGAGAGGGCAGGAGGGGAGCCCTTGCAGGGACTCCTCAGCTTGTGGCCCTGGCTGTTCACCAGAGCTGGAGCAGCCAAAGGATTTGGGGGGTACATGGGGCGTGTTCCGCACGGACTCTCCTTCTGCTGCACCCGTCTCCCGCCAGCCCATCCCAGCACACTGACATGAGGTGTGGGTGTCTCCTGTGTGAGATTTGATCCAACTGCTTCTCCCAGTGCCCCCTGCGTGGAGGGGCTCCGCTGCCGCTCCCCCGATCTCCTTGCAAACAGCCCCTGAGTGCAGTCCCTGGGGGCTGGACAGGCATGCTGGGGCTGCTGCGGGGCTGGCGGGCTCAGCACTGTGTTTCCCTGCAGGAAGAGAAGGTTTATGTTCAGCACCGCATCCGGGAGAACCAAAGGCTGGTGTGGGAGCTGCTGAGCAACAGGAGCGCTCATGTCTACCTGGCTGGGTGAGTGAAGGGTCTCTGCGCAGGAATTGGGGGAGCAGGGCTGCACTTTGCTGTTTCTGCACCTCCCTGGAGGCATTTCCTCATCTCAGCCTCCAGAGCGAGCACACCCTGTGCCCTGGCAGGTCTCTAGGAGCTGCAGCAACTGCTGCAGAGGGACCAACTCATTCCTCCTCTCCGTATGTCCTGCTCCGTAAGCCCTGGCCTGAGGGGGGCATTTCTCACCTACCCTGCACTCTGATGAGGAGGGGCAGAGCTGGAACCATGGTAAAGCTGCTGCAGCTGACTCCACATGCCCATCCCTCCAGCTGCTAGCGCCTGTGACCAGTGTCACCTGCCAGTGAGCTGCCTGGCCTCTGACCCATGGCGAATCCATAGACAGGAGAGCCCTGGCCTCATCACACCCCTCTCCTCCAGTGGGGCTCAGTGAAACTGGAGAAAAAGGCTTGTGCAGTTCCTGCGGCTGCTCAGGTGGGTCGGAGGCTTTTAAAGCACAATATACGAGAGCTCCGCTGGTGCTGGGGCTTGTGAGCAACAGCTTTTGGGACCCTTGTCGATCCCAGCCAGCAGTTTGCACCCGAAACTGCCTTCCTGGGGTAGGGACGAGCCGCATTGCACCGCAGTCTGCCTCCCTCGACAGCGCAGTCCTTCACCAGGTGGTTCCCTTGGGCTGGTCGGAAATCTTGACCTGTTGGCCAAAAAGCGGGGTCTGGCCTTTGGAGGCAGAGCAGCTGCAGCTCTTTTGCCAGCTCAGTGGCTCTTTTCCTGGGCAAAGCCCGTACCCTGCCTGACCGAGTCACTGCCTGTGTGGCAGGGAGGAGGCTGCTCACCGGCTGCCCAGGGCCAGCGTTGTGAAATGCTTTGGGCTCCTTGAGCAGGCGAGAGGCTGGCGATGGTGTTTGTCGTGCACCCTGTGACCTGGAAAGCACTGTGCAAACCTGGGCCTTGCTGTCGACACGAGCAGCAATTGCAGGAGGCTCTTTCCTGCTTGTCCCACATGAGAGCAGGAACTTCCCGAGTGCCTGGCAGGGTGCGACTGGCCTCGCTGCATTCCTGGGAGAAGGACATTTTTGTTTACTGCCCAGGAAGCGGAGGCCAGGCTGCCCGCTGCCCCTCTCTTGCTGCTGTAACGGTGCTGCCACCTCGTACAGTGTCCCTTGCTGCATCACAGGGCTTCCTGCGGCCTTGACCCCAACTGATTCCTACTCACAGATCTGGGGTTTGGGTTTGGTTTCCTCCATCAAGCTGCAATTGGGACTTGGGGTTGTGCCTCTGTCTGCAGCCCAAATGCTGAGAACGTTGAGCAGCTGTTGGGTGACCACTGGGCATGGTGCCTTGATGACTCTCTGTCCCCTCCTTCTCCCGTCCTCTTTGCTCCTTTCTGGTGCCCATGGAGGCACCCTGGGGGTTGCCAAAGAAGGATCAGTGTCTTGGAAAGAGCACAGCTTGCACAGCTCTCCCCAGTGCAGGATTTTGCAGTGGCCGTGAGGATGGTGTTTTGGACATTGGGGTTGCTCTGAGATTCATCTTGCTGGGGCTATTGTCCCTGGCACAGGGTGGTCCTCAGCCCTGATCAGGCAGGTGGGATCCGAGAGCCTCATCCTCCTTGTACAAGTGGCAACTGTCCTGTTTGCAGTGGGCATGTTCCCACCCCCCTGAACAGCCCACGTCGTGTGTAAAGACACCCGGGGTCACAGCGTCCCTCCCTGGCCCACAGACTCTGGACTGCCCGTGGGC